GCAGGCATGTCCAAAGGTGTGATCAGAAACACCTGGGTGAGTCTTTGTCTATTGCAAGTGTCTCCAATTACATGGACTCAATGTTAGATCCTCAGCTGGCTTTAACAGGCTTAACAGATAAACCAGGTGAGGACGTGGTCCTGAAAGCACAGCATGATTAATTTTAAGGAAAACTGTCATTAACTTCATGTGGGAAGGTATGCCTAAGTTAAAAGTGTGGGTGTGGGTTCAGTGCTATGGTGAACTGGACAAGGGTTTAAATCCTCCTCCTCCTTATCCTCTGTACTTACTTTTCTACAAACTTTTCAAGTCGGATAAGCATATCTAGTGGAAAGTATCCCTGCCCAGGGCAGCCGTGTTGGAACTTGATGATCTTTGAGGTCTCTTCCAACCTAAACCAATCTATGACTCTCCGATATACCTAGGATTTCAATACCAATTAGCTGTGTTACGGGCAATGTGGCAGGACTGGCTTTATTTCTTCAGCATTGTTTAGTTATGCCGATCCATGTAAGCTTTGAGACCAAACTCAAATTTTGAGGTATGTTTAAGTCTTATTTCTCTTGTACTTCATGAATGAGGAAACTACTTAATAAAAATGAGCACAGTATTTACAAATTTAGTCTCCATGGCATTGAAAGTTCTCTCAGCTCTGTAGTACCCATTTTCTGTAACCCATAAATATCTTTTACATAAATTATCTGCACCTGTTGTTGTAATTCCATGCTTGTTGAACCACCCATATGTAACACGTAAATTTTTATCGGTTGTGATTCTGAAATTTGTCATATCCAGGTGCTCTTGAGTTTTGATATTCAGTTGTTAAACACATCCACGCAGTAATTACAGTTGGGGCTGATGTTACCAAAAACAGCCATTCAGATTTAAAAAGACTCCTCTCTCCAGTTACAGAAAGCTCTGTCATACTCAACCACATAGCCTGAAAATGTTCAGAGTAGGAACTCCAGTCTGGTACATGTGATTAGGAATGCAGCAGTGTCTTGTACACTATGGAAAATGAATCAAGGATTTAAGGATTCTGAACTCTGATACGGATCCTCAATTTCACTTGCACAAGAACTTGCACAAGAGATGCACAGCTTAACTGGGTTTCCTTGCTCCTTGTTGCTAAGATTTATTCTCTGCTGTTGGAGCAGGCTGCAGGTAAGAAGTAGTGTACATTCCTGGTGTTATTTAGAACTATTGGCATATCCCACACATCTCTATACATATTTTTTTAGACTAGTTCATGTCCATTTTTTCTTTAAAATTGATGCATGCTGTTGAATGGACTTAAAGAAATTAGCTCTTACTCTGCTCTTACCCATTGTCTCCCTTTCATTTCCTGCTGTGGAGTAGATTGGAGTTCTTGTTTTATTGGGAAGAGTGAGAATAGAGGGGAAACTTAAAAAAAAAAAAAAAAAAAAAAAAACAACAACTTTGCAGATGGATTTAAACTCATTGTAGTACAGTGGGTTTTTTTCAGATTCTTGAAACTGCTATAATTTACTCACAAGATGATATGGCACGATTTCTATCTGTTGTTTCTTTGGAAGTCAGCTGGAGCTGATGAAAATTATAGAAGGAAAATCACAGTCCACTGCAATAAAGATCAAAGAGAAAAATCTGACAGTTCACAGCAAATGAATAACAAAGTATTTTTTTTATATGTAATATCCTGTTAGAGATTGATTTAATAAATCACAATAGAAACTTCGTATGAAGTAATCCCATGTGAATTACTATTCCATTGGAGGAAAAAAATTAATAATCCTTACCTTCAGTTCACGAGTTGCAAGGCTGGAAAGAACATTTTGTTATATCTATACTAGAAAAAGCTTTGCTTACCTACTATGGGTTTTAACTAAATTGGTGTGAGCGGCTCAGCTGGCCTCTGAGCTATTTTGGTTACCTACCCCATCCCTCTGAAAATAAAACCTGAACGTCTTAGCCATCAAACAGTAATTTCTGCTCCTACAAGAAAATTCCTTTTGCCCTATGCTTAAAACTTTACTCCCTTACAACTAAAAAGACCATCTGCTTTTAGACAGCAACTTTATTGAGAGTAAATCTACGCAGCCAAATAAGTATTGTAATTTTTGTACCATGCTGATTGACTGAGAAATTATGCTTTGCAAATACTGCTTTTTTTTTTTTTTTTTTTCATCGGGTCCCCTTACCAAATAATGGTGGTGGAGCCAATGAAGCTTAGCAATCTATCAACAGAAAACTCTGGCTAAGAGGAAAAATAGATGAAGACATAATCTGTATCTTTTCAAGTATTTTGATAACTTCAACTTGATGGCAATTTGAAATCTGATAGATTTTTCCTTTTTATCTTCACTGACGTGTGCATACTATTAAAGGAAAATTGGTAGATGCGCCCACAAGCAGATTCATTTCTGATTCCATGTCCCTTCCTGGAAAATCTACAATCTCAGCAACCTGAGGAATTATTGATTTTTGCTTTCTAAGCACTTCAAACCACTTACCTGTAAATCTTATATGTTTTTCTCAGTAAACCAAGTCTTTGAGTTCGATTAAATCACAATCTAGCTTTCAATTTTCTTTCAATAAAGGAAATAAAAGCCTACTTAGAAATGCTCAAAATGATCCTTCAGTTAAGTCACTAAAATCCAGATGTACTTTTTAATAAAATATTATTGTGTGCTGTTAAAAATGACCATGTTAAGTTCTACTTTGGACTTTCTACTATCGAACTTCAGTAGATGAAAATAATCAAATAGTAGACTGGCACTGTCCAACCATTTTAGAAAATAATATGAAATAGCTGTATCTTAATTGATAAGCACTTATAAATTCTAACTATGAATAATAACTTCTTGTAATTGGTTTCTTGTTTCTGTCAAACTTGAAAATACTACTTGCCTACAAGACTTTGAATAATAATTTCAGAGGCAATGTACCTGAAATTCACCAACACTGAAAGTAAATAAAAATGTCAGTGCACCAATATAGCTCCTAGGAAGAGACTTGAAGCTGCTTTCTGAACTGGCTGGGAGCTGGTAAAGACTGACAATAATGAGACAGTTACTGTAGAAATGAAATCATTTTCATGCTGGCTGCAGAGTTCTGATGTATTTTAATCTGCCAGATATGTAGTGCCCTTCTGGCTGCCTTCAGGATTGTTTTTTCAATTCAGAATGAATATATTATAGTGTTCAAACGTGGCTACTACAAATCTTTTGTTACTGTAGTTCTGGAAGGAATTTCAGTACTGCATCCCACTTTGTTAGAATCAATGATACGGCAATGAAAAATATGCATGAAAGTATTTTAAAAAGCCTCTTCAGCAAAACGACATCATTTAAAGCTGGAGATGGTAACAGTTCTCAAACTGCTCTTGTATCATTTTTAAACAGATGTCGTAACAGAGAGCCTCCAGAAGTCCAAGAACTATATATCCAGAGCTAAGGTGCACCTTGGGCAATATCTAGTTACACCTGAATGTGCAGAGAAATGAAATGAATGAGATGTGAAGCCAGAGTATGAAATGTGTTTATAAGTTCCTAAGTATCCTGCTGTTGAATAGGTTTAAACATTTGTGGTCTGGGGAATGAACTGTTTAATCATGATCACTGCACAAGTTCTGTTTTGGTTGTTTGTTTTTTTCTCTGCTAGTCCCTTTCACTCTCGCATAACAGAACAGTCTTCCTATACTTTGAAATGTGTCTTCTGAACTAACTTTTCAGCAGTGGATAGCAGAGAGCTTTAGGGTTTTTTTTGTTGTTTCCCCCCTCCCCCCCCCCCCCTTATGTCAGTTTTAGTTTTCCCCTCTCCATTTCTCTTCATCTTTCTGTTCCACCTCAACTTTCAAGTGTGATGTAGCACTCCCACTGAAAGTCAGCAATCACATCAGGAATGACAACGGGTGCAGAAACGTGGGCCAAGAGCTGCGTATTTTGTTTTAATCAACTCCCATTTGGCTCATATCCTGTATGAACAACTGAGGCACTCCAAGCTAACTCTTCTACATCCATGTTGAGCTGGTAGCGTTCTGCATTAGACTTTCTTTAACAAAACAGCGGTCTTCAGCATGGAGAGCTTTTTGGGACTGGTTAAATATGAATGCATGTGTGCTGGGGCTGCATCCGGCCGTATTGGGAGTGGTACCGCTGTCAGTTGCTCTCCTTGCTGGTTTTGTACAAGTGCTGATTTAACTCAAGAAGAACAAGTTTCTTCTTTCTTTCTTTCTTTTATTTTGTTTGCTGTTACAGCAAAATATTTGACTGTATTAAGTATGATAAAAGAGGAGACGTAACGCCGTGAAGCTCTCCTCCAGGCACGCTTCTCCATTACCTCCTGAGGAACCAAAACACCGTACACAAAGAGCTCTCGAAAAAAGGAGCCGGTGAATGAAGGTGTAAGCCTCAACGCCGCGCCTGCAGACCACCACTCCCGCCTGCACCGCTCCGACCCGCATCCGGCGCTACAGCGGTGTTGGACCACCCCCATTGTCCTGCTATATAGGGTGACGATCGTGCCTCGATTTCAGGACTGGGCCTACACTGGCTGTCGGGAGGCTATTCCTAGACTCTCCCTGACGTAGAACCCCCTGAGCGCGCTCCAGGCGCTGCCCGCACCGCCGCGGGGCCTCCCGTGCCAGCCGGAGCGCCTCGGGGCCGGGCCTCGCGCCGCCGCCGCTCCCTCCTCAGCCCTCCCCGCCATTGGCCGCCAGCAGCCCTCCCCCTTCGCCGCCCGCCCGCCCCCCTCCGCGGGAGGGGCGCGGGCCGGAGAGCGCGGCTCCGGTTCCCCAGGCGCGCGTCTCGCTCTCCGGGGCCCCCCCGCTCTGCCGCCGGGAGAGGAGGAGGCGGCGGCGGCGGCGCTTTGCCCGCCCGTCCCCACCCGCCGGCCGCAGCCGAGCGGGCCGCCCCCGGGCAGCGCCTGTTCCATGAGGCGCGGCCGTCGGCTGCCCGCGGGGCGGGGGGGCGGTCGGGAGGCCCCGCCGGAGGATGCCGCCGGGCGCTGTGGCGGCGCGGCCCCCCGGCGGGGCGCGCTCTCTGAGCCCCGCGGCGCTGTCTCGCAGCCTGTCCCGCCTGCGCGAGCACCGCGCCCGCTCGCGGGCTATGCTGGCGCTGGGGGTCACGCAGATGCTGCTGGGCTGCCTCATCGTGGCCGTCAGCTTCGCCGCTCTGGCGCTCACCACCTCGGCCCGCGTCCGCCACTCGTGTCCCTTCTGGGCCGGCTTCTCGGTGAGCGGGGGCTGCGGGGCGGGTTGCGGCTGGGGTTGGGGTGGGATCGGCGGCACGCGCCCCCGGCCGTTAAACGCTCCTAACGGTCACTGCGGGCGCGTGCCGCGGCGCCGCCTCAGCGCTGCGGGCGGGAGCGGGGAGCGGGGAGCGGGGCCGGGCACCGCATGGCCAGGTGCGGGGCTCCCTTCCGAACCGCGGGAGGGCCGCCGCCCCGCCGTGGAGGCAGCGCCGCGTACGCGGCTGCCGCGCCCGGGGGTCTCGGTGCCGGATCCGAGGCGCAGAAGGCGATGAACCGAGCGCGGTGAGCAGCGGACACGGGCAGAGCCGCACGGGCTGCGGGCACGGCCTGCCGGCTCGCTTCGGTAGCGCGTGGTTAACCCGAGTTAAAGGGCGGTAATAAATCCCGGTGCGCTTCTCCGCTCGCGGCCCCTCAGCCCGTGCGCGGGCCGCCGTGAAAGTTCTGCCCGAGCGGCGCTCGGAAAAGCGGCGGATCCCGAGGGCACCGGGAGCGGTGCGAGCGCTGCTGGTGAGGATGAACCTCGTGCGGTGTAAAGCCCGGTTTTTGGCTGCTCGTTCTTGTGGCGGCCCGGAAAGCTTTCCGTGCTTTAAGTACTGGTTGGGGACCAGAACCGCTGGGTGAATGGTGCGGGTTCGGAACCACCTGTTTGTGTGCAGCACGTCGCTCGGTAACTAACCAGCCTTATAGAGCAGGAGAGCGGTTTGAGTCATTGTTAGGATACTTCTCTCGATTTCTCCAGGATGTTCTGTAATCTTGAGAGGAAACATCAGTTCATGCGAGTAGCCTTGTTTCTGTCATAACCGCGTCCTTTGAGCCGTAAGCCCCGCAAGCTGAAATGCCAGCTTTTGTCACAGTGAGGTGTGAATTTCAAATCGGGAATCTGACTGCTCGCTTATTAACGTGCTAATAAAACAACGCCACTGAGGCAGATCTGGTGCCTTATCTCGACAGAGCAAGCCGCAATGTGTGCAGCTGACTGTATGTTCCAGCAAGCACGGCCTTCCCACTGATGCCTTTTCCCCATGAACCCCATAACGTCTGTGAGGATTTTGGGGGTTATCAATATGCTGGAAGACATGCCGTTTCTCTTCTGGTTTTTTAGATGCTTTCTACTTTCCTCTCTCTGTACACCATGGACAGGTGCGCTTTCTGATTTGATTTCTTGATTGCTACTTGCTCAGCATAGGTAATGGAGAAGAAAGATGTGCTTTATGGACACGTGTTGTGAACTGGTAGAAGCTGTAAAAAGTAAGAGGAGGGATTGCAAGATTGTTCACTGGAAAGCCTTCCTTCCTTACTCTCTTACGCTGTTAGAATGGGGCGGGTATACTTTCTTTTCCAAATTAAAGACTTAATTTTTAATGTAAAATTCTACCTTATAGAATAAATTATCAAAGAATAAGAAGCATGCTTTTCTCCTAAGCACTTTTCTCTCAGTCTCGAGAAATAAGGTAAATAACAAGTGCTTTTATTGCACTGTACTGTAGAAATCAAGCACTGTAGAAATCAAGCACTTTTTCATACTATGGTGAGTCCTAAAGAACTCTCAGTGTCTTAGTCTTTAACAAACCTTATTCTAAAAGCCTTTTTAAGGGCTTAGTCAACTCTGGTTGTCCTTTCCAGTTATTGTCTTACTCTGGAAATGTATGAGCATTTGCTGAAGCCACAGCAGGTCCTGCCCTGGAACTGAGGGCTGCCTGTGTGGAGCAGCACAGAGTGCTGCCAGACTTCGGAGTGGCTAAGTAGCTTAGTTGAAGTGGGAATTTCCAAGGTCAATAATCCGTTCATTAGTAGCTGCTGAACTTACCACACCTCTGTTTTAGTTGTACGCTGCAGCGTGTTGAAGGAATGAGTTGTAAATTATCGTGCTTAATTGGCTATTCTTTCTTGGCTAATTTTTCTACTAATTCCTGTGCCTTTTGGAATCAAAGAACAGAAAAGATCATGGGGCTGCCTGAAACAATGTATAACAATTGTGGTTTATTTGTATATAAGTCCTCTCCTGAAAGCAGAATATGCCCTTACGTTCCCTCTGTTCTGCAGGAATAGCCATACTGCTTTGAAGGAATAGCCTGCAAACCTGACTGTGCTAGGGAATTTATAACCAAACTATTTACACATTGAAAGCATCACCACTTCTGTGCAAGCCATTTCTTAAGATTAAAACTGGTCCTAGAGTAAGTCCCCTCAAGTCACAGAATCTGTCTCCTATAGCCAAGGGCTACAACATGAATTTCTAAGAACAATGGTTTGTAATTCCTTTAAAAGTGTGTAGCGATGTTGTTTGAGATATAGTCCTCTCCCCAGTGTAATTTCTCATCACTGTTGGTGGTTTGTAGGGGTGTGTCAGTGCTCCAGTTCCCGTGCATGCTCCCACTCAGTTTTTCCATTGTGGATTGTTCTAAAAGCATACTGTTTTACTGGGGATAAACTGAGACTAAAAGATGTGCTGTAAGAGCTTAGGAGATGCAATTTGATTGCTGTAGGCATTAAGCCTCAGTACCAAACCATAGTGTGTGTGAGTTAGATGCCTGTACAAAATGCATACAGTGTGAATGCTCTCTTAAGAGCCATTTCCTTTGCGAACAAAACTGCACTGTTCCATTTACTCCTAATTAGTTCAGCTAGGATCTGTGAAGTCAGATTGAAAACTCTTGGCTGGAGGACGTGCACTCCCTCCTTAATTCTGCCTGATAGAAGGGATTCCTGGTACTTCAGTGTGCTGGCTGCACTTGCCTCAGTACTGCCGTGTGGATCTGCAGAATGAAGGAGCCAGCTGGGAGGGGGTGTTGCTTCTGAGTATCTCTAAAGTGGTGCTACAGCCTGAGAGCCAATTAACACCTAGCCCGCCTTTCAGTTTAGTTTCATCTGGGAGAACTGAGGTTATGTGATCTAAGGCATTTGCGTAGCGCTAACCACAGCCCGGTAACTAAGAGCAGTCAGGAGTTTCTCCTCAAGGTACACTTGTGGTGAATTTCCAGCAGATGTACGGCTGCTCTGCTGTGTGCTTACCATCTAGCACCTGGTATGAAGGGTGAAGTGATCTTCGCTACAGCAGTCGTGTTATGCATGTGGATCTTGGTTAGTGGGAACACTTACAGGCTGTGTAGTGGTTGCATGAAACCATAACTCCCATGTCCTAAAGCAGCTTTGGGGAAGTCTTACCCTGGTGAAGACGTCTCCTGCTTTAATGGGTGCGTGTGTTTGGATAGTAATAAATGAAACCAGTGGGTAGGATGTGCTTTAGAAGGTGTTATTTCTGATGGCTGTAGAATTATTGTGAATTTATTTTATAGTACTTAGAGAAATACAGAGTAATTCCTTAATGTAACATTAGTGATACACTTGTTTAAGCTTTTCTGATAGCTGTCATTGGCCATTTGTGTATGTAATCTGTTGGTATACATTTTCCACCCTGAGCTCTTCTATTTTAAACTGCATTGTAGCCATTTTTGCAGTCACAGTTTGCATGCAGTGTCTCTGGTATAAATTCAGTGGGTTGTGTGTTCTAAGGATCCTTGGTTTGCTCTCCAGAATGTACAATACAGCGGTATTGTGAAAGGGATTTTTCTCCTCCTCCTCCTCCTTTCTCCTTCTCTTAAACTCCCATTTTTCAAAATTAATGCTGTGCAAAAATGGTACACTTCTTAAAAAAAAGCAAGCAAAAACCCTGAAGTTGTTGGAATTAGAATGCCATGCAACAAAGGGTTCAACCTGTTCTGGGTGTGCAAATGGCATTTGCATGTAGGCATCGGGCTGCCTGCCTCTTTTTTGGGTGGGGTTTTGAGTTGCAGAACTAAGTGGCAGTAAGTTCTGATTAGTACACAGCCACTTGTAATGAGATGTTGTTGTTAGACTGTGATTATTTAAAAAGGGAATTATTTCACAGTGCTCTAACAAATACGTGCTTGTTTTTTATTGTTGTATGCAGAAAAAAATGAGAAGCTTCTTCAGTGTAAGTGCTTCTAAGGATATATTGATTTTTGTTGTTGTTTTGTATTTTATTTTATTTTATTTTTTTTGGCTGAGAGGAGACAAACTGCATGGTAACTTGTGGAGTTCCGGTCTTTACAGCAGCTTGGTTGAAACATGGGTAGCTGAACTAGTAAGATCTGAACAGTACACCTCAACCCAGAGTGGACCTTGAGATGAACCTCACAACCACGTGTTATATAGCATCAGTATCTGATGGTTAGCAGAGTGAGTATGACTATTAGTGAAATATGTATCTTAATGAGGTTATTTTAGATCAAACATTACAAGAATGTTATTAACCTTTCCTTGTATAGAAGCACGGTGTCAAGGCCTAATACACAAACTTCCTTGGTTCTTCCTTGAGCCCTGGCCAGGCTTGAGGTGGAATCCAAAAAGGAGAATGAAACCAGACGTTTCCACCCTTGAAGATATGTGAACTTATTTATTCAGCAGTATAAAAGCTGGCCCTGCTTGCAGCGAAGTTGAAGCCCTCACCTGTGGATGGACACATTGCATAGGAGCTTCCCTGTGAGTGTGGATCTGAGTGGTGGTGCAGTAGCTGGGCAATTGGTGACACGTCTTTCTTAATCACTGCAGTTACTCTTGTATAGGAATAATTAGGTGCATTACTGTGTTGTTTTATTTTTGCTGTGTCATTTCACCTTGTTTTGTTTCATTCTTGCTGCGTTATGGTTCTATTGCTTAAAGTGTAAGTAAAGATAAACTCACTATTTTGACTCGGTGTCTGTGCTGACCCCGTCTGTGGACAGAGCAACAGTTGGAACTGTGTTACAAGCTTAAACTTACACAGACAGTGTGTCTGGTTTATACAAGTTAATGCAAGTAGGTGACTTTGCAAGCTTGTCTTCGGTTTTGAATATGAACTTTCATTCTTTCTAAATGCCAACATCGTGAATAATATGTTTTGCAGAACAAGCAAGTAATATCCTTATTGTACAGTTCTGGTAATCTAGTCACCTATCAGGAGCCTGTGTCAGCAGAATTA